AGCAAGATGCTGAGTGGAGTCGGGGGCTTTGTGCTGGGCCTGCTCTTCCTTGGGGCAGGGCTGTTCATCTACTTCAGGAATCAGAAAGGTGAGGAACCTTTGGTAGCTGGCTCTCTCCATAGGCTTTTCTGGAGAAGGAAATATGGATTTGCTGAGGATAGTTCTCAGTATATGTGGGCCTGGATAAATCCTTTCTTTCCCCAAATGACCTCCAATATCCTGCAAATCCAGAAATCATCAGGGCATGTTTACTATGTGAAAGCATAATAGCTAGTGGCCTGCAGAGTTGTGAGGAAGATTAACAAGTAGGGGTCCTTGGTTTGAGATCCTGGAATAAATTAAAGAAAAGCCACTACATCTAATGCAATGACACTGGATCCTGTGACAGACACTTCATGCTTTGAGGGTCCCATGGTCTGTTTCTGCTCCTCTCTGCTCTGGTTGGTGTGGGTTGTGGTGTTAGAGAAATCTCAGGTGGGAGATCTGGGGCTGAGACATTGTGTTGGAGAACAGATTTGCTTCCATATCTTTTAAGTATATGTCTTTTCCTCTTTTTCCCAGCACGCTCTGGACTTCAGCCATCAGGTAATACCTTTTATCCTCTTTTAGAAACAGTCAGTTTCCCTAGAATGCTGATAGAGATGATAAGACATGAGACACAAATCATAGAAAAGAGTTTGGATCCAAATTTGTGATCAGATAATTTACACCAAAACTCCTCCACTCCACTTAGAAAAGGCCTGTGCTCTGCAGGTATCGGCTCAGGGAGACTTAGGAACTTGTTTTTCTTCTTCCTGTAGTGCTCTCATCTGAGCCCTTGAAAGAGGAGAAAAGACACTGTTGGTACAGCCGGGTCTGAACACAACACTTTCCTCTGTCTCTGCAGGACTCCTGAGCTGAAGGGAAGGTGACCACATTCAAGGAAGAACCTTCTGCCCCAGCTTTGCAGGATGAAAAGCCTTCCTGCTTGGCTCTTATTCTTCCACAAGACAGAGCTTTCTCAGGACCTGGTTGCTACTGGTTCAGCAACTCTGCAGAAAATGCCCTCCCTTGTGGCTTCCTCAGCTCCTGCCCTTGGCCTGAAGTCCCAGCATTGGTGGCATTTCCTCATCTTCAACTTTTATGCTCCCCTTTACCTAATCCTTCGTGCCTCCCATGCATCTGTACTCACCCTGTGCTACAAACACATTACATTATTAAATTTTTCTGAGACATGGAGTTAAAAATGGTGCGGTCTATTTGACTCCAAGGAAAAAAAATATAAAGAAAAGGAAAGGCCGGGCTCGGTGACTCAGGCCTGTAATCCCAGTGCTTTGGAGGCTCATGCGGGCAGAAATTGAGATCTGATATTGAGACCATCTTGGCCAATATGTTGAAACCCTGTCTCTACTAAAAATAAAAAAATTAGCTGTTCGTGGTGGCGTGTCCCTGTAATCCCAGCTACTCAGAAGGCTAAGGCAGGAGAATCACTTGAACCATGGAGTCTGATGTTTCAGTGAGCCGAGATGGCACCACTACACTCAAGCCTGGTAACAAAGCCAGACTCCGTCTCAAAAAAAAAAAAAAAGTATAAAGAAAAAGAGAAGATTATTCCCCAGTAGAATAATGGTTTTCAAGTATATGTCATAAGTACGTGAGGTGATACATATGTTAAATAGCCTGATTTAGACATTCCACACTATAGGCATATATCAAAACTTCATGCTGTACAACATGAAGATACTGCACAGTATTTACCTGTCAATTAAAAAAGTAAACCCAACGTTTAAAAAGGCAGTGCATGAAAACTGAGAACAAACTACAGCTAGTGCTCAACTTACGACCACGGTCAGGACCGCGGACCAGTCGTAACACGATTTGGTTGTAAGTTGAGTAGGCTATATGTACAGTTGAAATGGTGCACGGGGAGATGGTAGTGCTGCCGGAAGCTGGTCCACACTGTCGTACGCCCAGCTGGGCAACGTGTGCTCTGCCAGACGCGGAGCCATCGTGGCTAGCTATTGTGGTCATAAAGTCGAATGGTAGCAAGTTGCATAGGTGGTAAGTCGATCAATAGCTGTATAACAACTGAAAGAAACTTGGCAAACATGAGATGAGAAACCAGTCAGCAAGTCAATCGGAACTTTTTCTTAACCACATCCACAATATTGTGTATCTATAACTGTAAATTAGTACATAGTTTTTCATTCCAGAGCCTTCAATAATATCGTCTTCTCAAAGGACTTGTACAGATTTCAGAGAAAGACAAATTTAGAAGATGGAGGGTTATTCATTGTGTTCTGAAAATCAGTTTCAAATGTGTCCAATCTAAAAGTACATTATC